GTCCCGGGAACCCGCCCGTGTCAAAGCTTCCAGGTGAACCCGAGCGCAGTTACTGAGACTGGGCTGCATCCCAGTGGCCCAGCTGCCCAGGACGTCCAGGGTGAAAACAGTCCGATCCCTGGCATAACCTAGCCCCTGGCTGGCTCCCCCGGGGTGACTCCATTGCTGGGGTGTCTCCAGGCACAGGCTGGCTTTGAGCCTGCTCCTCTGACCTTCCTTTGATGCCCGGGGGCTTCGGGAAGCCTCCGCACCGAGGACAAGTGTAGCATGACGCTCCCCTCCGCAGCAGGGCTGCTGGCCACCTCCCAGCCCGGACCCGCGTCCAGCCTGCCCGCTGCCAGCCCGAGCCCAGTGTGGCCGCCGTGAGCCAGCAGGCACCCAGCTCTTTAACCGCACCTGCCGGGGACTCCAGGACTCCCCCACCCCGAACGCTCTGAAGCTCCTGATCAGAAGGGTGGACCCCTGAGCGGGGGCCCCTGCCGTCTGAGGTCTGAACCCCGGCTCCGCCCCTCCCGTGACTTTGGGTAAGGCCTTACCTCTGCGAGCCTCGGGTTCTGCCCAGGTAAACAGGGGTGATGGCAGCACCTGCCTCTTTCAGTGACTCCGAGGTGATGAACTAACACACGGGGAGGAATTACAACAACAATGAGGTCCCACCGCACCCCGAGGAGAACGGCCCGACCCCAGAACTCCGACCACACCCAGTGCTGGCGAGGCGGAGGGGCTGCAGGGGCGCCCACCCCTGCCGGTGGGGAGCCGATGGGGCGGCCCCCCTGGAGGGCAGGTCGGCTCTTACAAAAGTACGCGTACTCGTACCTACTCTGGCAATCGCACCTCCTGGCATTTACTCCAAGGGCTTGAAAACTTACGTCCACACAAAGCCTGCACGTGGGCGTGTGCAGCAGCTTCATTCATAACTGCCGAGACGTGGGAGCTGCCGGGACGTCCTGCAGCCGGTGGGCGGACGAGTGGACCGTGGCCCATCCAGACCACGGAGCCCTCCGCAGCGCTGCAAAGGAGCTCGCTGTCAAGCCGTGAAAAGGCAGGGAGAAACCATACGTGCATGTTGTGAAGTGAAGGAAACCACGCACCGTAAGATTCCAGCTCTGTGACATTTTGGAGAAGGCAAAACCGGGGTAGCAGTAAACAACTCAATGGTTGCCAGGGGCTGAGGGAGGGAGGGAGGGCGGGATGAGTGGGCGGGGCACAGAGCGTGTGTACGATACTGTAATGATTAGTCCATGTCCTTGTACATGTGTTGAACGAATGAGCAAAGCCACCTCAGTCAGGTGACTGTCTCAGGAATCATCCGCAGGGCAGGCACAGTCCTGCAGGACCTGGCCCCTGGTTTTTGGAAACCGAGACACCCCAGATTCTCTGAGTCAAGAGCCACAGAGACCCTGCTGGTCCCGGCAGGAAGGCGTCTCCGGGTGGAAGAGTTCAAGACGCCTGGACATTTGCATACAAGTGGTCTGAGGAGAGCCAAACCCGTCTCTGCTTGCCCCACGGGCTGCCAGGGGCTGTCGGGCGTGACTCAGACCCAGATGGCACTGCCGTCTCTGTCTCCTTGTTTCCATTTCTGTGTCCTCGTCTGCTTGCGCCACAATCAGTGTCATCGGGGAGACCAACAGAAAGCCTTGCCCGGAGGACGGGGAGCTCTGGGGCTCCCCTGGAGGGGGAAGGGACAGGGAGGAACGGGGACACTGTGTCCCAGCCCACAGCCGTGCTGCGGGAGCAGACTCGGAAGGAGAGCGGTGTGGAGACCTAGGCGAGCCGGGTGGGGACGCGGGCGGAGTCTCTGTGATGATGAGCATCGCACTGAAGGACATTCCTGCCAAGTGTTCACTCAGCATCTGCATGGTCTCCACACAATTCGTCTCCCATGGCAACCCTAGGAGGCAGGTGTCCTCGTTGCCCCCCCCCGTGACAGACAGGTAAACTGAGGCTCAGAGAGGTGACGTGGCTTCCCCGAGACCCCCCACCTGGTACGTAATGGAGTGGGGGTTTCATGCAGGCCAGCCTGCTCCCAAAGCTCTTGTTTTTCCCCTCCACCTTCCCAGGTGAGAAGTGTAGGGAGTCCTGGGGGCCCCCACCTGCACCCAAGGCTGACGCCAGAGGTGTGTGCCTGCTGTGACTCGGGAACTGAGCGGCGGGCGCGGGAGCCCCTTAGGGGCGGCCCAGCCTCCCAGAGCACAGCCAGCTGCCCCGGCTGGCTGGGGCGTGAAGAACATTCACCCCGACACCCTTCAGCGGCTCCGCCCTTCTCGTTTGGGCACCCCCCCCCCCGGGAGGTGAGGCAGAGCCCACCTGGGTTGCGGAGGCGGCCTGGCCGGGAGGCGGGGGACGGAGCAGACCCCTGCCCCACGATCTGCCCCGTGGAGCCGCCGCAGTGGCTCGGCAGGTGGGGCCTCGGTGCCCGGGCAGTGACGTGCCGTGTGTGTCGGTGGGCCCAGGACCCGGCGCCGTGCTGCCTGCCCCACGTGGGCTCCATGTGGCTCTGTGAGGCAAACAGAGGACAGACAGACAGGCTGCGAGCGCGTCTGCAGCCTCCGGGCGCCTGCTGCTCCGAGCTCCTGGGATCTTCTGTGCGTCTGGCTGCCGTGAAGGGGCCTCTCTGTCTGGCGTGGGAGTACGCTCGCCCGGCCTGGGCTCTGAGACCCCCTTCCCCCCCCAGCCCCTCCACGTTGGAATTTTTTTACAGCCGCCCTGGGACATCTGCTAGAGGAAGCGCCTGGGAGCTGGCTCGGGCTGAGAGGGAGACGCGGACAGCTGGATCGGGGACCCCAGGCAGGGAGAGGGGAGACCCCGGCCCCCACACCGCCCCTGGTGTGGGTCCCCCATCCTCCCCCACTGTGTTTCAGGGCAGGATGCAGGACACAGCCTGGCCAGTCTAGACCCTCTCCTTGTGGAGCTCCCACTGCAGAGGCTAAGTAAGAATGTTCACCGTGGTCTCGGCGTTTTACTGAGCACCTACTATGTGCTCAGCGTACCTACTGTGTGCTCAGCATGCCTCCTGCCTCCTCCACAGCACTTTCCCGTGCCACGAGCTGTTCCGAGTGATCAGCCCCCCTCTCATCCCTGCTTCAGAGATGCGGAAACCAGCACACGGAGGGTTTCTGCGACTCCTCCAAGGTCACGCAGCGGGTGAGGGGCCAGAGACGGAAGTCCGACCCAGACCTGTGCCCACAGCACTGGACCACCTGTGCGTGGGAATGTCATCAGCTCCGGTCACAACCGATGGTGAGGTGGGTGTCCTAGGGAACAGCCCAATAGGCCTGTCAGGGCTGTGTCTGTGGGGGTTGGAGGTAATGTGGGGGCCCCTCACGAGGGGGATGAGATGACATGCAGCCTGGAGGTCACACATAGGGAAACTGAGGCCACAGCCAGAAGCAACGCACTAGGAAGAGGCAGCCCGAGGGATCTGAGAAGTCTAGGACTCCGTGGAAATGAAGAGAAAGGGAAGGAAGCCGTAGCCTCCTACCTTCTACCTGCGTGAGACACTCAGAAGTGCACAGGACTTAGGGGCCCGCCCTTGAACCTGCTCCCTGCTGCCTGCCAGCTGTGTGGCCTTGGGGGAGTTCCTGCAGCTCTCTGTGCCTCGATTTCCCCAAATATAGAGAGGGGACCATATAAGCACCTACCTGCAAGGTACTCAGAGCAGTGCTTAACACACAGTGAGTGCTTTACCCGTCCTCGTCAAATCAACAGCCATAGCTTTGTCACCCTATGTGACAAGGACGCACACACACATAAATTGGGCGAACTCGAGGCTGCAGATCCTTGTTGTTGGGGAGGATGGGGAGCAGGCGTGGGAAGCAGGGGGGGTGGGAGTGAGCAGGTAAATGCTACGGTCCGAGGGGGGGGCCCTGTGTGGCCTTGGCAGTGGCCCTGGACCCTCTGCAGCGCAGGTGAAAATGAATGACCAAGAACAACAGGAAGGAGTGACGCCATGGGACGCCCTGGCCTCAGGCCTGGGAACACGCAGACTGTCCCCCCCATGCCACCCTGCGCATGCCTACTGTCACCCAGGCCCTCGGGGCCCCTGCTCAGCTCCCCTCTTGCACCGACTCTTTGCTGTTTCTGTCTCGGAGAGTGGTCTCTCCGAAGTGGTCTCTGAAGGCGTCCCGTGGGCCGCACGTCCATCCAGGCGCGGCGAGGAGCACACTGCTGCCCCGCGAGGACACGTGCTGGGGTGCGAAGGGACAGCTAGGGGGCCGTGGTGGCTGAGAGCAGGCCATGACAGGGACAGGCCTGGGGACCCCACTCGGAGTCAGTGGGCAGACTTTGGGAGGTCTTAGCCCGGAGAGGGCCACACCTCATGCGATGTCCCAGGGGCCACCCTGCTGGCTCTGAGCAGCGTGGACGGTAGACAGTGCGGGGGTGGAGGGGAGGCTGGGGGACCCCCCAGGAGGCTGTCCCCAAGCCTGAAGTCCACTTGGGGATGAGGGAGCTGAACGGGGTCAGAACAGGACCCATGGGAGACTCCTCACCTATGTGGCAAGCATCCAGCAGGGGGTGAAGGCCAGACACCCCCAACCCAGCAGGACGACAGCTGCCCGGGTGTGGGGAGACGGCGCCAGCCCCAGAGGGCCTGGCTCCACAGCAGGGAAGGCAACTCCTGCAAATGTGTGGCCACGGCTTCAGTTTGCAGCGGAGATAATGGTGCGAACTTGAGTGCAGCACTCGGGTCCTATCACTTCTAGATCACGCACTGAAAGCCGTCCTCCTCGCTGATGGCCGGGGGGGAGAGCGAGAGACGGCAAATGGAAACCAGAAGTGGGAGCAGCCCGGAGAAGGGAGAGCGGGCTCACGTTCCCACTGGGAGAGCTTTCAAAGCCCCCACGGCCTGCCCGCCCGCCCACCAGGGTCACCGTAGCTCCGCCTCCCCCCTGCACCCTCCCAGGGCGTCCTGGCCCCACCTGCGTGACGCGCTCCCCAGGATGACCCGGGTCCTCTGTGAGATGGTGCCGCCCAGCCCCAGCGTGAAATCATAGCTCTGTAACTTTCCCTTTAAGACTGTCAGAGCCGGGGAGGCCGGCCAAGCCTGGGCTGGAGGTGGGGACAGAGGGAAGAAAGGGAAAAAAGAGAGAGAGAGAGGCAGGAAAAGTTTTTTTCAGAGGAAAATGCAGGGTTTGTCCCTACCCCTGACGTCAGATCTTGCTTTCATAAAACCCCCCGAGGGCTGCGGGAAGAGCCGTAGCTGGTGCTCCTGATGGGCTGGCCAGTCTCAGCCCAGCCGGCCCGAGAGGTGGCGGGTCTTCTGGGCTCTCGGTCGATGCCGTTGCCACTGACTTCCAGGCATGAGGTGGTTCCTGCCCTGGACGCTGGCAGTAGTGACCGCAGCAGCCGCCGCGGGCAGCGCCCTGGCCACGGTGAGTCCTGCCTGGAGGGGCTCAGAGAGGGGCCCCAGCAGGGTGAGAGGGGCTGGGGGGGCAGGGCGAGGAGGAGGGCCGCATGGGGTCAGCAGATTCCGGCAGGGCCAGAAGGAAGGGGCAACACCTGAAGGAGCGAAACTAGCCAGCCCCCCATGCCGCCTCTCACACCTGAAGCAGAGCTGAGAGGAAGGGGCGCTGGGAGCTGGGGGGCTGGCCTCCAGACCCGACTTGGACTTTGCCAGGGTTGGCTGTGTGACCTTGAGCTAGTCCCTCGCCCTCTCTGAGCAGCATAAAGTGAACAAGTTGTTAGCAGATTTCTTAAGTCTTTGGGTTTGGAAAAAATGAGTCCCTAAGGGTTGGGTATACTACAGGAAGGGGACGTGGAAAATGCCAAGAAAAGTTGGAAAGGGAAACGCCAGCTTTCAACAAAGGAGCCTCTGGAGTAAACGGTGCTCGGGCTGATTTCCCACCCCTGAGCGCCCCGGCTCCAGGGCTGGCGCGGACCTCTGATTCCTGCAGCGCGCACGGCTGGGTCCCGCGCACGAGGCCCGCTGTCTCCGGGGCCCCCTTGGCTTCTCTGTCCCCCACCTCCATTCCCGGGCGCGCCAGGGGGAAGGGAGGAAGGTCTGTCCCTCCAGGAAGCCCAGGGAGCCAGACACGTGGCGGCGCAGAGGCCGTCTGCAGGGCTGGGCGTGGGCGTGCGGGGGGCGGCCGGCAGAGCCTCTGAACAACCCAGGATCCCTCCGCCTGGCCAGGGCCCCTCGGGGAAGCCAAGGGCTGGAGGGAGGGTGGCGCGAGAGGGGCTTTCTTGCCGGCTCACACTGACGGGCGGCTTCCCTTGGGATCAATGGGCCCCATTCATGGATGAGAACACTGAGGCTCAGGAAGCAAGGAGCTTAGCCGTGGGCTCGCGGACACCGGTTCTGATTGGACCGGACCTGAGGCTGAGAGCGGACGCCGCCTGCAGGCCAGGTGCCTGGTGGGAGCTGGGTGGGGGGCTCCGTGCGGAGTACAATGAGGGCAGGGAGAGCCTGTCCGACTCGTCGTTAAATCCTCCCTGCCTTGCGCGGTGCCCGTCTTCCCACACAAAATACATTATTAACGTTTCTGCAAATGAACGAAACGGAGACGGAGCAGGTAGGGGACTTGCCCAAGGTCCCCGAATCAATCGGTGGCCAGAGTTCAAACTTAGATTCCTCCTGCCAAACCCCACTCTGTCTTCCAGAGCTTTCCCGGTCGAGGGGAAACTGAGCACTTCCTGCAGACCAGAAAGAGCCAAGCCAGCCCCCCTCCTCCCGGGGCTTCTGCGGCTGGGAGGGCAGTGCGCCTGGGAGGGCAGGGGCTGGCTGGAGAAGAGGCGAGAGGCGCAGCCCAGGGAGGTCTGAGTGACAAGGGGGAGGGACAAGCCTGCGGGGGAGTCTGGATGTTGGAGCCCCACGTGCCTCTGCAGAGCCGCTGGTGCTGGGGAGGAGGGGGCGCCGAGCCGCGGGCTCAGCCCAGGGGACATGCGCAGGACCCGGGAGCCCAGGCGGTCCCAGGCAGCAGGATAGGGGGCAGGCTCCTGGCGGGGGGGCGGGCGGGGGTGAGGCCCCTTTCCTCTGTGCGGCCCCTCCTCCGTGCAGGCCCCTCCGGGACGTCTCCGGGAGCCCCACACGACCCATGGCAACCAGTGCGGTGCTCACAGCCAAATCCCAGCCTCGGCCGTTCCCACTCCCCCCCCGCCCCACCCCCACATACACACACTGGCATGTAAACAGGGTGCAAGGCCACGCCGGGCCCCGGTGGGATTCCAACGGGAAAAATGATATAGATGTGCACGTGGGAGGAGGCGCCCCTGCGGACGGCCAGGAGGGCCTGAGGAAGCGGGGCCTGGGGGGCCTGGCCCTGTCGGAGGGAACCGCGTTATCTGAAGGGTCTGTAATCACAGCAGGAAGCGATAAATCAGGGGGCGAGACAGGCAGCCAGAGCAGAGACGGAGCCGGGTCTATTCGGGAACGGAACGCGTGATAAAGGAGCAGACGGAGCAGACTTGCTTTCCCCGCTCGCCGCCCCTCTCTTCCCTCCGCAGGACTCGGTGCCCACCAGGGGCCCAGAGAGGGCACTCCGTGCGGTCCTGGGCCCAGGGCTGTGTGTGAATAACCGGGACCCCCCTCAGCTCAGCCAGCCGACCTTCGTGAAGTGCCTCCTCCGATTCCCATGGCAGTTATTAAGTGGATGCCATTACCTTCCTCTGTACATGCAGACCCTGGAGCTCAGAGAAGCCAAGTCATTTGCCTAAGCTCACACAGCAAATACGCAGTGGAGCCGACTGTGGGACCCAGGCCTAGCTCTGGGCCATAAGCCCACTGCCTTCGCGGTCCACGCGCTTGTGCAGAGGCGACAAGCCCGTGGCCCCTGTCCCTACCAGCGCTTACAGGCCAGGGAGGCAGGAGGGCAGGGGTCATCGGAGGAGAGAGGCTGGGGCAGGCTCTGCCCTGGCTGGCCGGCCGGCCGTCTTCCACAAGCCCCTTCACCGCTCTGGGCCTCACTGTCCTCCTTTGCTAAGGGGGCCGCGACGCCAGCCCCCAGCCCCCTGTGGCTGGGGCGTGAACACCCCGTGAACACCCCGTGAACAGGACCCCTCCAGATCAGAGCGGGGACTGGGTGCACACATGTCGTGCCCACAGATTCCTGGGCGAGCACGAGGTCTTCGGTCGGCCGTCCGTACCCCCTCTCCCATGTAAATGTGTGTGCGTGATCGTGATCGCGGCCTACCTGAGCGCGTACGTGCCCGCCGTGCGTGTGCGTGCCTGAGGAGGGCATGCTGGGTGTACCCTGCAAGCTCCTCCGCCCCGCCGGGCGCCCCCCGTAGAAAGGCGTGGGCCTGCGCGTGAGGCACGGCCCTTCTGCAGAAGAGCGAGGACGTGAACGGGAATGCCTCCGTTCCCCCTCCTGTCCGCAGCTGGGATCTGAGCGAGCATTTCACTCCGCCCCCCCCCCCAAACCCCAGCCCCACGAGTCCCCTGCTCAGAGCCGCTCCAGCCACTTGGACGCGCTGCTCCGACCTCAGGGCCCTACTGCCCACGACTTCTGTGGGGCGTCGGTGGGCGCTCCGCAGGGGCTGGCTCACGGCCCCACCTGGCACGGCCCTTGGCAGGCTCGCCCTCTGGAGCGGGAACAGAACTGTCCTCCTCGGGAGGCCAGACCCTGACCTCGGGCTGGGCGGTCTCCCTGGGCTCAGGAGCAGGATAGGGAAGTGGCACCTCCCCCAGGTTTCAGAAAAGCGCCGCCCCCCACCCCCGCCCATACCCTGCCAGCAAAGCAGCCAAACACCAGGAGGCTGCCTTTGGCTCTGAGCAAACAGCGGGGCAGCTGGGCAGCGGGAGGGTGGCCGCCCTCACTGGGTTCCATATGGTTCAGGGCGGGGACCCAGGAGGGTCCCCCTGGGCCAGCGTGCCAGCTGCAGCCCCGAGAGGAAGGAGGGGTCACGACAGCACGGGGGACACTGTGCTCATCCCTTCACGGCGCCGCCGGAACTCCCTGTGCCCCCGGGACCAGGGCTCCCTGGGTCTGGGCAGTGTCCTGAGCGCTCTGTGTGCATCAGCTCGAAAGCCACACGCCTGTGAGGCCAGCAGGGTCCTCACAGCTTAGACCGGCGCTGAGGCTGCTGGGCATGTGACATGTGGTGAGCCCCTAAAGGAGCTCTCAGAGCCCATACACGCCGGGTCCCTAAGACTCCCGCATGAATACAAGACTGAAACTCTCGTCGTAATTTTTTTTTTTGCTATTGACTCCATATTGAAATGATAATGTTCATACTGGGTTACACGAAATACGTCATATTTCATTAACACAAATTCCACCTGTTCCTTATTACTTTTAGGGTGGCAACTAGAAAATGTCAAATTCCATATAGGGCTCACATTACGTTTCACTAGACAGCGCTGGTCTGCAAAGACGCAGGTGTGGACCGAGGAATTACGATAGGCGGGGAGGAAAACCAGCGAGTTCCGGTCCCAGCTCCTGCACGTACCAGCTGCGCGTCCTTGAACGAGGAGCCCGGCCTTTCTGGGCCAGTGAGCATGCCTGTAAAGGGTGTGATGTCAGCACTCGTGTCTTGGGGGTCCTGGGGGAATTACAGAATGGAGGGCGGGAAAGACACACAACAGTGGCTCCCGCTGTCCCAGCAGCAGGGGCTGGGGGTCCCCAGCTTGGGCGGAAACACTGACGGCAGACGAGTGCCAGCTCCCGGCGGACAGGCATTCGGGGAGACCCGGCTCAGTGCCTGGCAGGCAGGACAGGGGGACGGGCTGATTGGTGGGATGTGCTGGGCTCAGTGCTGGGGACGTGGGGTCTTCTGAAGCTCCAGGGTTTCCATATCCTGGCCAGCTTCCTTGCACATTTAAAGGGAGCCGGTGACCACTTTTGGTTTGTCGTGTAGGAGAAAGAAATAGTGATGGTGCCGATGGTGCTGATGGTGATGCCGGTGGTACTAACGATAATGGTGCTGATGGTAGTGATGGTGATACTGGTGGTACTAATGAAGGTGGTGCTGATGGTGGTGATGGTGATGCTGGTGGTGATGGTGATGCTGGTGGTATTAACAATGATGGTGCTGATGGTAGTGATGGTGACAATAGTGATGCCAGTGGTACTAATGAAGGTGCTGATGGTGGTGATGGCGATGCTGGTGGTACTAATGAAGGTGCTGATGGTGCTGATAATGACTTACAGGGGAGACTTGTGTCTTACAACCCTGAGTCAGGGGCCCTGTCGCTGACCGTGGCCTTCATAGCCCGTCCATATAACTTCTCCATGACCTCTAACAGCCCTGTTCTGGGCCCACCTTCCCCTGTCTCCGGAGATGTGGTGATAAATGGCTGGCTGGGCCCCTACCGTGGTGAGAGGCTCGCGCATTGGAGATGGGTGTTTGCACTAGCAGAGGGGAGTGTGTTGAGAATACCAGAGGCCTGTGGGAGAAAAATACCAATTCCGGGGCCCTGAGCTTTAACACCTGG